CAGTTACACTAAGTGAGATGTGGTCTAGTTTTTAAATACAGGCTTTCACCTCTCTTCTACTCTTAGTAATGTTGCTTCCAGAGATTCTACCTTATTGCTATACAGAGATCTCTAGGTTTCTTTGAGTTTTCGGTAATCCGTAGTAGTTTACACATGAGAGATGTTATCTCCTGGAGCATTAGTGATTGAGTTCTCCTTTCCCATAGGGGATATCTGTGCCCCACACTCCTCATTGGGAGGAAGAAAACACTGTTGTACATTCACACTTGTTTTTTCTCTCCACAGGCTGAAATGGCTTTGCTGGTGATGGATGAGGAGGAGGACAGCAAGAAACACTTCAATTACAACAAGATTGTTGAGCACCAGAATCTGAGCAAAAAGAAGAAAAAACAACTCATGAAAAAGAAGGAATTATTAAAGGATGACTTTGAGGTAACCAGAGACACAAGTCATTAAAGCTGAGTTTGATCTAAAGTCAAGCTCTGCAGATAGAAATTGAGCATAGTCAAAGTTGTCCGTGAAATGTCTTAGGAAGGGCCCGTGGTGGAACCAAAGTTACCGTCTTTTAGTCCAGTACAACCAGTTCATCCCAGGGTGGATTAAATCACTGTTTCTTTTGTTGAGTAGCAGGTGAAGTAGTTGACTTGTATTTTGGTAGCCATGTTGCACCAAAAATATGTAGTTTTTAATGTTAGAATTACAGGTAGTATGATCCTCACACTGGGAAAGGTATGCCTAATTAAGCTCTACTGATGAATAGCAGGTTCATGTCACATTGGGTCACACTCTCACTGCTTACAGTGGCCAGCACAGTAGACCATGCTTTTTAATTGCCGTGTTTCTTATTTCCATCACTTCTTCCACTTCTTCTTTTTCCTCTTTTTGTTGCGTACATAGTATATATTCTTAATGGCTGCAAAGTCCCTATGCATGAGTTTGAGCCCTCTACAGAAAACCTACAGTTATTAGGAACTACTTAATGACTTTCAACCGTAAACATGGAAGAACAAACCCCAAAGAATATGGGGGAAATTTGGAATTTGTTCAAAGAATGGAAGATAGGGTACAGATAACTTCTAAGTAGCATGTAGAGGGGCTTTGAAGCCACTCTGTAACTGCAGTTTGTATAAATCAGTTTCACATATGCTTCTGTTCCACCGAAGTTTTTGGTGATTTGGTTTCCTTATGAAAAGCAAAGGATGATTTGTAGTCATATCTTCTATTACAAGGTCCGCCTTCATGCATTAATAATCCTATGTAGAAATATTGTTCATGAGTTTTTTGGAGTTTTTTTTTGTTGTTTTTCTTGGTGTCACCTCTGTTGGCCTCACTATAACTAAGTAAAGCTATAATCCATCTTCAGGTGGGCTCATGCTTCCCACGTTTCCCCTTCTTGCTGGTCACCCCTGTGCCTGGCAACACTCAGAAAGGCTGGCTGGAGTTAAGGGTACCCTCTTAAATGTGGACCCACAATATTTTTATAGAAAGATAGAAGATGAATTTAGGGGTTGTGTCTAACCAGACCTTGGTCAGGGATGGATACATTCCCACAGTG